GGGGTCGAGAGAGCCTCCTTGTCGTCGACACCGACAACCCACCCCTTGGAAAACTCATCAGCCGCGCAGATACAGACGCGGAATCGGACACACTGCCTGAAGATGCTTCAGTGCATACGGCGTCTGCGGATGGAGTTCCTCGGAGTGGCTCCCCATAAGACCAGAGGATCCTGATTAGATGTGCCGCCCCAAGGACATACAACGGGAATCCTGTGTCTCCCACCTTGGGTCGCGTGCAAAATGGTCTATGGAAGATTCTGCCCCATCGAGAAGGGCAGAGATGACCTGCAGTGATCGTGGTGGGTCCGACACCCAACATCCTGTCGTTCATGTGTATGTGGCCTGTGAGTTGTCTGCCTCGTGGGAGGCAGATTTGGCTCAACTCTGGATATGCACCAAATTTTGGGTCCTTATCCTACAGTACAGTTTTGCTAACTCACCTGGGAAAAGATCTTCTCACGCTTGCACAATAGATTGGAGTAAATACGAAGACAGCGAACGAGCCGCGACGATCCTGGCTACGGATAAGAGCATCCTGCTCGCCATTGTGTGGTTCGGGAGGCACAGGATAACTGTACAGGGCTTGGAACATGATTTATCAGTGATGAGCAGTTCCTGGGATGGATTGGCGATACGCCTTGGTCCTCAGAACCACCAACAGCCGGTCCGCCAAGGCTTCAGAGTAGCCCGCTCATTTCTGGTGGAGTTCAACCTCGGAACGAAGCAGCCACTACGACGGCAAACCCAACGGCGATGGATCGAGAAAGTCGAATGAGAAGATGGACCAAAATCATGAGATTCTGGGCCGATAGGCGGCGGTTAGCGCCACAAGTCGCGCTTAAATTGGGTACCTTGTATGCACCGCCGCAGGGACTGCGACTGTTTGGGAGTGGGACCATGAGGACATGCGTCACCCGAGGATCTTCTTGACATGTAAAGAGACCGGGCCGAGAGCATCGGGCTTGCTACAGCCTGTCTCTGGCCGATCACCGCTTCGACAACGCGGCCGGACTACTGTATTTCCCCCTAGGCAGAGAATGCCCCAAGGTTCGCATTCTAGAGCTCAGTGTTTCCTCGGGTGGCATTATCAACACTTGAATTCCTGGTCTTCGGACTATTGCTCCAAGCTCTGTGACAGAGATTGGAGGAGTGAAGTCCTCTGAGCCAGTCAGTACCTATCAATACGCCAAGTCAGGTCGTCACGGGCGCCTCGAAGCATGGAAGGAGACAAGACGCATTCCTCCCATCCCCCCCCCTCCTGTATGGCAAATAGATCGAATCAAACGATCCTGTCACTCGGTCGATGTGCTATGTATTGTCTGGTCCCAAAGATTCGGCACGAGGGCCAACGTGAACATGAGTTTCACTAGCACTGCAATCACTATCACCCCCGATGCGTCCAAGTTGGACAGCGCTTCGAGATTCACAACAAAGGAGAACAGGCCACGCCAGAGGAAAAGATGGCACTAGTAACGCAGGGGAGTACACAGTATCGCGCCAGAACCGGCTGGTGCCGAGGCTGATTCTCAGCAGGTTGCGGTTGTGGTCGCGGCGTGGTCTGCGGGGGTAAATCCAAAGTCAATGCAGGAGAGGTTGGTGCTGATGGATACCATTTTTGGGGGCCGCTGTAAGTGTGGCTGGGATGGCAAGGACCAACAAAGAGGTCAGCCCAATGGGAAGCCCCTGATCTGCGAGATTAACTGGATTTTTCTCTGGAACTTGACTTCTTCGGGTAGGACAGGGTTGTTGCTGGCGCTTGCGGCAGACGGCAAGAGGGTTGAGAAGATCCAATCACGGCCCAAGGGCCCCGGGTTCCCGCCAACAAGGGCCCGAAAGGATGTGAAGATGTGCAGGGGACCTTGCATCCGCATCGCATTGCGGCAGGTGATATTGAAGCTTCTTAGTCCTCTGACTGGCCAATTCCTTGTGCCACACCCAAGCTTTTCACACAATGGCCTTGTTCGGGGCCCCTCGAGTGGCCGAGTCTTGGTGGTCCGAGGGGGAGAGAAGGTGTGGTAGGCCGCGCTGAGGTCACGAACATCCGAGCCTCGTTGCCATTCGCAGAGCTGAAAGAGCCCAGGAGGCCGATGATACCTCAGCCCAATCGGTGGAACGTCGTCTTTGCTCACCCTGCATTCCCACAGACTGTGGAGCCCCTGCTGACCGGCATCCACTGCGGGAATCTGTGTCTCTTGGGTCGGCCCTCGATCTCCTCTCCACCGTGCGCCCGAGTCTGCCTCCATGTCACACCAGGTCGCACCCAAGGATCGATTTCCTACCTCACCTCACCGTAAAATCGGGACATTGTTGAACTGTAACGCTGGCGCTAAAGTCTCTGACAACCACCAACATTCAGGAGAACCAACACCGTTCTCCTGGGTCCAGGAGGGCTCGGCAGAAGCTTTAATATCGCTCGACGCGCATGGCGTCGGTGATCTGGACCGTGACCGACTCTCCGCCCTGAACAAGCGTCATGTCCACGGTCGCACTGCAGCGGAAGAATCCCATGTGGCGATAACGGCACCCAAGCTTTTGTGTCTCGCACGCGGCTTTTACTTTTTCGAACCCCGCATTTCCCCTTGATTATCACTTCTCTCATCGGACACAGCCTCGCTACCACAGCAACATCAACCACGACGCATTATGAGGCCCGCGACGGCTAGGCTGGCCGTGAGCACGGCGCTCGCCAGCTCCGCGGCCGCTATACTCGTCACGCCGGACTCGCCATGCGACACCCAGTGCGGCAATGTCCTCTCCTCGACGACCGGGTCGGACATAGAGTGCGACCAGAACAACTACGGCAACGCAGCCGGCACCGTGTTCAGGAACTGCATGAACTGTGAGCTCGGCAGCAAGTATTACAGCACCGAGTCAAACCAGACGGACCAACAGTGGTTGCTATACAACTCCAGATTCGCCGTCTCCTACTGCGTATATGGTGACCCCGGCAACGAAAACATCGGCGATAGCCCGTGTGTCACATCGTGAGTAACGTCTTGCCACCGCTTCAAAGGACTCGGAATTAACATTTATGCTCAGGCGTGCTTGTGGTGTCCTTAAAAATGCCATCCAATTTGGCAACTTCAGCACCAACGTTGGCGCATACGACTACTGCCAGCACTGGGACTTCAGTGAACTCACGAACGGATGCGAGCAGTGCTTACGGGCCAGTGACGACTACTACCTCGCCAACATGGTGGCCCTGCTCCAGATTGGCTGCAGCCAGAAGCCCGTTCCCGGCGCGACCGTTGCCGTCGACGGAGGCGTATTCTCCAACACCCTGCTGCAGGAAGGCACGCCGACGCCGATCAACAGCTGGACAGGCGACACCGACTCGGGCCCGCTCTCGCTCGGCGCAAAGGTTGGCGTCGCCATCGGAGGCCTCTGCTTCGCCCTCGCCGTGGCCGGGTTCTGCATCGTGTGCAACGGCCGCCGCCGCCGCCGCGCGTACCTGCGCAAGCTCGAGATGCGGCAGAAGGATGCCGGGTGGCCGCACCCGGGCGGAGGTGGAGGAAGAGGAGAAGGCGGCGGTACTGGTGGGGTGTCGGCTCGTGGTCCGGACATGAACGAGACGCCGCTCAGCCAGAAGCCGCTGCGCGGGTGGGACGACTCGCCGCTGTCGGCGACGGCAACGGACACCAGCTACGGCCGGTACTTCTCGCCGTACTCGTCGCAGTACAACAGCCCCGTCAGCGCGGCGGGGACGCCCGCCATCACGGCGCAGCAGTGGCCGAGCTTCCACGACCACCTGTCGCCTCAGGACTACCATAGTCCGGGCCACGGCTTCCCCTCATCCGCCCAGGAGAAGGCCATGCAGGACCAACACGACGCAGAAGCAGCTGCCGCCGGGCCGTCGAGTCAACACCCCATCCACATAGGAGTCGCGCTGGGCGGTGACGAGCCGAGCCTGCGGACGGAGCCGTCCAACCCAAGCGTCCGGGACTACCGCAGGGACGACGCCGCAGCTGAGGAGTACGAACTGCACGAGGTTAGCAGCGCGGGAGGCAGCAGCGCAGGGGGTCCCAACGCGCCCATGATTGGGCATAGCAACAGCTTCAAGAACAGGCTCGCGAGGGGCAACGTCGCGCCGGTGTTGCAGCACCCAGGGTACGGGCGGTATAGCCCTGATAAGTGCCCGCCTCCGCCGCCGCCTGCGCATGGGATGCAGGATGGTTAGGTCAAAGGTGACACCGCCTGGGAGGGTGATATTCGGACAGCGGGTCTCGTGTAATTTTTGGTATTTGATTTGTGATGATTTCTTGTCAGCCTGGAGTTTGGAGTTGCGGCAGTGTTTTTAGCAAGTACTTAATTGAACGTCAATGTAGTAAACTGTGGCACCCCTATGCTCATGTCGATCTCTTTGAAGGATTCCGTGCTTGCGAGGCGATCAGGAGGCGGACAGTGCCAAGTGAGCTTGATTGATCCTCATCCTGCAGAACGGAGGCTGAGCGTGTTCACTGCCGGAGAAGCCAATGTGAACTTCATCTCAGCAGGTCTATACAACATAATAGCAAGTGATTGGTAGACAGGAGGCTATCCCGTCGGAGAATATGCCATAGGAGGACACCCCAGAGGAAGATATCTCACAGGCCATAGTAGGTTATCCCACAGGCGGCGTCCCAGTGGAGGATGGCACAGAGAAACTTATCCCAAAGGAGGGTATCCCATGGCATATGGACCTAATCCACCGGCATTGACGTTTGAAGGTTGTCCTATAGGAAACAAGAAAAGAAGTCTGCCCCCCGGGACGCCATTGGAAACTGTTCACACCTGCAGTGAGCAGTCTGGATTACCCTACCGCATCGCGCTAAATGCAATGACAAGCTGGATGGAACTAAAGACTCGCTGTCATCTGCAGCCAGAACAACAACCACAAGGTGATACGAGCAAAAGAATTACACACAAAAATGACGGGCTCAACCGGGGGAAAAAAAAAAAAAAAAAAAAAAAAAAAAAAAAAAAAGGACAGAAAGACAAAAAGAAAAAAGGTAACAGAGACTGGGCTCAACCGGGATTTGAACCCGCTGGTTTGTGTTAGATATGGAACTTTCAGTGGGTGTGCGGTTGAACTTACGGGCCTCTTGCAGTGCGTTTTACCCAAAGCAAGAATCATACGACTAGACCATTGAGCCATGTTTCATTGAATTTTTGCGTAAAAGCAAGTTCATAGCCCAATGTTGTAGCTGCACATACTAGTCTAGGCCGAACCGGGCTAGGCCGCCCGCAGCTGAGTTTGCAGGTGGCCCGTGCTCCCCCACAGTCAAAAAAATTTGGGAAGCATGATGGGAGAGCTTCTTAGCATCCGAGCCAGACTTGGTCGTCCATTCCTCTCCTCCCGTCACGACATTTACACCCCAAGAAGGACAGCCGCTCCTTTCCCCACCCTTCACAAAATACTCCTTTGGCTTGATTCGTTCCTGTTTCTCGAATAATCAGGATGGCGGACAAGGTTGCGGCTAAGGCCCAAGAGGAAGAACATATCATCAAGCCGCAGGCAACGACACCAGCCGCCGACACCAGCGACTGGCCGTTGCTGCTCAAGAACTATGACAAACGTGAGGATCCAATCAGCCAGCCTACCTTGGAAAATGGCGTGCAAGCTTTGCTAACCGGCGCGTAGTCCTCGTGAGGACTGGGCACTTCACGCCTATTCCCCATGGCTGCAAGCCTCATATGCGAGACATCAAGAGCTACAGTATGTTGTTCCCAACCTAACATACCCGCAACCAGATCAATTGAAGTCTTTCTAACTTTGGGCAGTCTCTTCCGGTGTAATCAACGTAAGAATTGACCTGCCGTCTGTCCAAAACCACCCACTGACATCATTTTCCCGCCCAGCTCGACAAGCCCTCGAACCCCTCTTCCCACGAAGTTGTCGCGTGGGTGAAGCGCATGCTCCGCGCCGAGAAGACCGGCCACAGCGGTACCCTCGACCCCAAAGTTACAGGATGTCTGATCGTCTGCGTGGACCGCGCCACGCGTCTGGTCAAGTCCCAACAGGGAGCCGGAAAGGAGTATGTTGCCGTCGTACGATTCCACGACAAGGTGCCCGGCGGCCAGGCCGAGTTCGCGCGCGCCCTCGAGCTGCTCACCGGCTCGCTCTTCCAGCGCCCTCCCCTGATCTCTGCCGTCAAGCGTCAGCTCCGTATCCGAACCATCTACCAGTCCAAGCTCATCGAGTTCGACAACGACCGCCACCTCGGTGTCTTCTGGGTTAGCTGCGAGGCCGGCACGTACATCCGGACGCTCTGTGTTCACCTGGGCCTGCTGCTTGGTGTCGGCGCGCACATGCAGGAACTGCGACGAGTGCGGTCTGGTGCTATGGACGAGAACAAGGACCTGGTCACGCTGCACGATGTGCTCGATGCCCAGTGGCAATACGGTGAGTTACACACAGTACATGTGCGGCGGTCTCTGGATGCCTGAGTGCGTGACTGACGAGCGACAGACAACAACCGTGACGAGACATACCTGCGAAAGGTGATCCAGCCTCTGGAGACCCTGCTCGTCGGCTACAAGCGACTCGTAGTCAAGGACAGCGCGGTGAACGCCATCACCTACGGTGCCAAGCTGATGCTGCCTGGCCTGCTGCGATATGAGTCCGAGATTGAACAGCATGAGGAGGTTGTTCTGATCACGACAAAGGGCGAGGCCATTGCCATTGGTATCGCCATGATGTCCGCCGTCGAGATGACCACCTGCGACCACGGCGTCGTCGCCAAGGTCAAGCGTTGCATTATGGAGCGTGACCTGTACCCTCGCAGATGGGGTCTCGGCCCAACGGCCGCAGAGAAGAAGAAGCTCAAGGCCGACGGCAAGCTGGACAAGTACGGACGACCCAACGAGGCCACCCCTGCCAAGTGGACGGACTCGTACACCGACTACAGCGCTGCTGGTGCCGAGGCGGCCGCTGCTAAGCCCACAGAGGCCGCTGCTGCCGACCTGCCCCAGACCGTGGCCCCTGCTGCCGTTGTCGCTGAGGCTCCCAAGACCCCAAAGACCCCCAAGGACGAGGGTGTCTCCGACAAGAAGCGCAAGAAGCACGATGGCGAGACCGCAGAGGATAAGGCAGAGCGCAAGCGCAGAAAGGCCGAGAAGAAGGCCAAGAAGGCGGCCAAAGATGAGGATGACAGTGATTAAACCCATGGCTGCACATCCATCCCGAACAAGGAAATTCTTGATACCATTATATCATCATGGCTGGAGCGAAGCCACCCGTCCACTTGGCGTTTTTTGCTGTTGTAGTATCACGGGAAGGGTTCATCAAAAAAAAAAAAGGCGTTCAGGGGGGTGGTCTAATATTTTGCATGGACATCGCTTCCTTTCGTTGGGAGGTAGATAGGGGTAGGCCAGCCTGCGCGTGAGGGCAAATGCACCAGGGAAAAGAAACCAATTCTTCAAATGTGTGTCGGAGGGTTGCATTCTCGCAGCTGAGACTCGTAGTTGAACAAGCCTCTGCGGCCGGTGATCCATGACTCGATAGGCGAGGCTGAAGCTCGATAAGGTTCACGTTGCCGACGGCCATTGCCTGTCTGCAGAGGAGATCTCGAAAAGCTCGGGGCACGAGGCCATAGCTCCTAAGAGGCTCTAATATAAAAGGCTCAGCCGAGGCCCCCAGACCCGATGCGTATGCCTCATCAGGGAACGCGCCGTTCACCGTGAAAGCCATTGTTCTCATCAGTTGCGAGCTGATTAAATTTGAACAAGCTTTGATAGACATTAGTTCAGCCGGGAGACAGGTTTGTTCTCCGCGCACGAAATGTGAGCAGCCGGCCCTGGCACGGATGGACGTCACAATAAGAGGACTGTTGGTATTTCACACGCTTGCGCGTTCAGTCCATTCTTTCAAAACCCATTTGGTTTCCTCACGCCCACGGTGCTCTGACCTCTGGGGCTCCTGATTGCGTGAGCACGTTTGACCCGAACCTCGCTGGCGGTTTCTGAGCAGTAGCGTCGTCCACTTCCCGGACGGAAGTTCGCGGTATCGCCCAACGACCAAGCCAATCGCACGATCAAGAGGGTATAGTATAGCCGCCCCCATAGGCGAGGAAGGATAGAAGCTGGGGGAAACAGGGAAACAAGCGAGCACAGAGAAGAACAGAACAGAACATGTTCCGGGTCGAAACGTCGTTCGCGCCTCGCTCTGTGCCCCTGAAACTCGATACTTACGAGTCCACCGTTTCGCGGGGCGAACACCTTAAACCCCCCCACCTACCAACGCCATTCCCATCGCGAGATAGCAACCCCTTCGCTTGCACTGACTGCCCGCCGACCCGTGGAGAGCGAGCAACGGTTCATGTTCCGTCCGAAGGGTTCCTGATGGTGTTTGCAGAAGTCTGGGCGCGGAACAGCCTTGGCTGGGTACGAGTGCCCCCATGGGTCGCATCACGAGCCGGGGTCTACGACACTGCCCCGATGCACGCATGTGTCTTTAATCTTACAGTTCGGCACTCGAGTCCTGGGCGCATGTCGCCAAAGACGATCGATGTGTCTAGCTCCGCCCGTATGCACATTTGCCCAAGGGGAGGACGTCATCTCGAGGGGCTGCATTATGTTGCCATGCCGCTTCGAGTAGTCCATTGCTTAAGCTTCGATTACTCTCGTCGTCGCTGTCATCCAGAGCGTCGGCCGACACATCCGTGTTCGATCACCACGGGCTTGTTGGCGATGGGTAGCGACAATGATTTACGAAGTTTACAATGCAATCTAGACCGCTTGCATGGAGAGGTAGTCAGGCTCGGAATCCGGGGAGACTCCGATAGAAACGACCGCGGACTACGAGCGCTATGATCGACCGGAGCGCCGTAGCAGACAGGAGCGACACTAGCCTGTCACGCCGTTTGATACGGAGCTCAACCGATAAGGAATGGGTGGTGGTGTCAAAAAATTGGGGTGGGCTAATAAGTTGGTCAAGAAAGTTTCCAGAGGATCGGGATGTGCTCCGTAGAGTTTGGAAATTCTCCGACTCGGATCTGGATTCCCATTCGGCTCCATGCATGCAAGTTACCGCACACCCTTGATAAGGCTGGTAGCGTCCTAAAACACACATGTGAGCCACACGTCACCTTGTGTCTCGGCACCCATGGCGGAAAGCGGGTCGCGAAAGAGCAAGTTCAGAGCGGGAGGCAGCCAAAGAATGTGAGAAATTAACACAGAAATAGTAGAAAACCAAGAAGAAAAAATCCCTAGGAAGGGGTTGAAGAAAGACCCGCTTCCCACCTTGGAATGCTTCTAGAAAAGGAGGAAGGCGTGCAAGGACCACAGTATATAGTAGGGAGATCTTACCCACCAACCAATGAAACTCCAGAGCCGCGCAAGGTGGGAAAAGTACAGAGCAAAGGCTTGAAGACCTCATTTCAACAGAGCCTCAGGAGGTCGAAACATGAGGGTAGCGGGACCCGCCAGCATCAACAGGGTGGGCGGGCCGGGCGGCGAGGTGCCCACCCGAGCAAGGCACCCAGCGAGTAGGAGCAGGGAAAGAAGTGTACCTAGATAGTTTTTTGCCCGTCTGCCCTCAGATCGGTCCGGTTTTCTGGTGGCAGGCCAGCCTTGTCGATGGGGACCGGGGCACGGGGCTGTGGTTCAAGGGATCGCATATGCCCAGGTCCTGTTCGCGCCCGGCACTAGGAGCTCGCATCCTTGGAACCTTTATGCCCCCACCATGTGTCGCAAGTACGGGCGCCTCAGACAGGGCAAGTCGGGATGAACAGCCAGACTTGCCAACGGGGACAAGCTGAAAACTGCATGCCTGGCGGGTTTGCATCTGCATAACTTTCCTGTAATGACAGCGGGCAATGGCCTCGAGATAGCAGGGGGGGCTGAGAAGGGACTGTGGCCGCTGGCCGAAGGCTCCTCCTGTCTGTCCGTGCCCCCCCAAACTGGACAGTGGTATAAAACGACGGGGAGCGACTGCCCAACGCTCGCGAGGTGCCGTGTAAGTGTATCACATGTCTTTCTCTGACGGTTGCTCTTGCAGATGAGACAGACAGTGACGTCCTCACCTCTTGAAAGCCAACATCCATCCACACACACACTCCCAGGTCAGGACCGAGCGTCGTCTCAAGAGGCCCTGTTGCCGAGCACTCACCTTATCACGATATATCTGCCTCACTCAACTCGATAAATACTCGCC